GAAGAAGCAATGAAATTCAGATACATAGGAATGACCACTGTCTCAGGTTTCCACCTCCCTGCTTAAGCTTTCCCCGTAAGGTACTTATAGAAACTTTCTAAATGTCCTCTTTATCTATAGGGGGTGGTCCATGACAACCAAGTTTGTATTACTTCCTCCTGTACACTGATAATCTGGAACAGATCTAACTACAACCTAAGTTTGGCTAATGAGATTCAAGCTTCCAAGAAGTTGAAATTGAGACTTTAAAGTATGTTAGTTTTAACAGGTGCCTTAAACAAAGAATAGCTAAACCCTAGAAACGTAGACCTTCTGCTACGCTGTGAACCCAGAAGAGGAGAAAATCAGTATAAAGAGAAACAGATAAAGCAGAAGACAGACAGACAGAGATGCTTGTTTTTATTTCTTAGGACCAGTTCTTTCTTTGGACTCATTTCTATTCTGCTATGGGGTTTCCTGATGCACCTTCACAAATTCTTCATTTTAGCTTAATTAAGCAAGTTTTAGTTGGTTTATCAAGTTGGTTGATTACATACAATCAATCAATTTCGATTAATATGCCACTGTTCTTGACCTGCCCTGACATGAGTTCAACTACAGGGCAAAGGAGTGCGGAGATAGCTCTGAAATTCTATTCAACACTTTCTCTATGACAAATACAGTTCTCATAGCAACAGAAAAATCTTTTATTCTATACAAGATGTACAGAATTAATATTTTATTGCCTATAGGCCAGTCTGGAGTAAGAAACTGACAAGTTTCTAACATACCTGAACTCATTTCCCTTATAGTTTTTGATAGATCTTAAGGTTTAAAAATTACAGAAATAACATTTTGTTCACATAGCAGCAATAAAAGTAACCCTAAAAGGAAAGTCTTTGTTTCCCTCTGGCTTCCCAAGTAGATAGAAGATGTTAAGAAAACTTGTAAGGGAAACATGAGTAATTCTGGATACACTATGATTCAGAATGTGCTTAAAATACAGATGCAGAAGATGGTTCAGGTACATTTTTTCAGTGATTTAAAAAAATCAGTTTCAGTGATTACATTCAATTAAACCACCATTGTAGCTTATGTCTTTGATGCCAATTAGTATTCTACAGTTCAGCAGTTTGACTGAATATTCCAGCTTTAGTTAGGCATTTTTCATGAAATGATTCTGGCCTGAAATACTAGTTGTTTGTCACTCTAAATTTTAATATATTCTTTGCTTTGTCAATTAAATGATACACTGGAAGAAGCACAATCTCTTAAATCACATATCTTTAAATCATTGCTTAAGTAGGCATACCACACACCTGGTTACAATGTGAGCAGGTTACATTTTAACAAACAACTCTCCTGAATTTGGTACCAATGGTCTGATGAGAATCCAGGGCTCTGGCTGCCTCACTCCCTGCTCTTATAAACTGGAAGCAAAATCTTCCTCCACACCAATAACATGGTTTTACTATCTCAAACTAAAAAGGAACATAAAAATAAATGTGTCCTGATACCTAATTATGTCAAAAAGAACGAATTTAACAATTTTATCTACACAAAAATTACATTTTGAATACCAACTATTCCATTTTAAATGGGCATTACTAAGTAATTCCATTGAATGGGTCAATTTTTTAAATTACTTGAGAGTACATTTTATAGCTCACTAATCTTGGCAGAAAATCTAGAAGGCCACAATATACCAACTTGGCAGTTGCCTTATAAAGCTCATTCTTTGACAACTGACAATAGCTATGCTAAAAACCTTCTAATACACAATATTTTTTGTTGTCATGTATAGTAAGCAGCTTTGGTTCTAGTCCAGCACATCTGGGTTCTTCAGAAAATTAAAAATTGTTTCTGAACAAACCTTGTTTAGGCCAATGGCCTCCTGGCACTTTTGGTGTTAGGGAGGCGGGTCCACTGTCCCACCAGGTGAGAACGCTGGCTATCACCAACATAACTAACTCAATGGATTCCAATTAACAACATAACATGGCTTTTTTAAGGTTCCTAACAACTAAAACAAGCTCCAAAAGTCTACTTCTAGCTGCTGTTAAATCCCTGTGAAGAGGAAGGATATGTATGTAAGTCTGCAGATTGTATGTGTGCCTCCTAGAGTCACTGGGATTCTTCAAGGTGCTTCCAAGACCAGTAAGCAAGACTAGGGAAGTGGACTTGCCAGGGCTATGCCAACCCCTTCAAGCCAACAGTTCTTATTTTTAACAGATTGAAATGTTAGATTTCTAAGTAGGATATTTTTGAACGTAGAATCTTAAAACTAGAGTATAAGGGAGATGCTCTTCATTTATCTTCAGAGTATGGTACATCCCCGTATCATCAGGGCTCAAAAGAGTCATAAATCTAAATCAAGGATAATTATCTTCCTGCTCCTTGAAAACATCTTTAATGAAATATACTTTCAGTGTTATAAGAGTTACATTTATTAGCTTTGATTGTGGGTACATATGCAAAACAGCCAGAGAAGACTTCAGCTTTTGCTTTAAAATTTTGTTAAGTAACATTGCTCATTTGGCTGTCAAAGTCCCATATGACACCTTTCTTTTGGAAATTATTTTCAAGAAAATCGATTCTCTCTTAAAAAATAGGTAGGCTTGCTTCTATCATATAATGAAAATTATAAACCACATTGCCAGTCCCTTTATACTTTGCTTAAGAAGCTCAAAAGTTAATGATTTCATTCTTTATTCTGATTACCGTATGTGTTTCTTCCTCCTTTAGTAGTTTTGATGGTGTACTTCTATTTGAACAGCCCTATGTGTCATTTTTATGATAAGCAGTATGAACATTAATAGATAAGTCAATAATAAAATTAAAAAGTGATGTGATTAAAATCCTGGAAATTACTGAAAATCAACAGAATTATGTATTCTATGATCATTAGTTTATCTTCAGGTCTCTTATCCTGTATTATCAGCTACTGGAATACAACCGAGTCTCAAGCTCAGCAAAATCAATCCAAAGAGCTCAAAGATTCTCTTTTAAGTTCATACACTGAAATTTATTTATTTTCCATAACCCTCATCTGGGACATACGTATCCTTATCAGACACAGTTCTATTATGCTTCAATAGGTTCTTGTTGCTTTCAAGATGAAGAACAAATCTTAATAATGGTCTACAAGACCTCATCATGGTCTACATGGCCCTGCCTACTGCTTTACCCTTATTCTCAGATACCTACTCCCTTCAGATTTCATCAGTTCCTAAATCCCTACATTAGGGAAATTTCCACTATTATAAACTCTAAATGCAGAGTATCTCCCTTGTCAGCACTCAATGCTGACAAAGGTTATATAATTATATTTCTGTGTGCTTATTTGATTAATACCTAAGCTCTCCAGGAAACTCTAAATGCCATGAATGTTTTGTCTAGTTTCCTCAGTAATGTATCATCAGCACGTGTCCTAAAACAAGCACAGCAACAGCATCAGCAACACTTTGATAATGCTAAAAAAAAAAAAAACCCTATATAAAGTGGACAGAACTCAAAGATCATTGGAGTCTAGAGGCAAATCTTCCAAATAGCCATTACGTTAAGACATTCTTTAACAGTCTTTAATAGTATCATTATATTACAGTATGGTATAACAATTGAAGTGATCAAGGAAGGGTTAGTTTTGATCTATGGTTAAGATAAAAGATAAATTAGTAATTCATCTTTAAATTGCTTTATCTTTAGTGCTTCTTTAAAAGACTTCCCTGTCTTCTGGAGGGGAGCTTCAGTTCTATGGAAACTTCACTCATCTGCGTTATTCTTCCCACCTCTTAACCAATAATATTAGATAAAGGAAGGGTTCCCCAACCTTAAGTTATGGTAAACAACCTTGTATTGCAACATTCCTCCTTTGCTCAATTTCATAATTGCATGGAATTTCATGAAAAAATTTTTTAAGCTCCAGTTAGCGTTCATATTCCCAATAAAAAGATTCATGTTATGCAATGTTTTACAAATATTCTGCCACAGACAAGGATACTCTGTTTTGAATTTAAACCAAATTATGTCTTAGCTTGTCTTTAAAGGCAAAATGCAAAAAAGGAAAAAAGAAGAAGTTTCCACTTGAATTCTAAATTGAAGATGACCTTGTGCTTTTCTGAGAAACACTGGCAGCTGAGGTCACTGGAATGTGTTATGATTGACAGTGCAGTGCTGTGCGTGGCTCGAAGCCATGTCCATTGTGTGGATTACAGCCAAGCCAAAAGAATTAGACAGCTCTAAGCATTCTATCATTTCATTTGAAAATAATGGTCAAAGTCATGGGCAACAATCTTTGCAACTTTCATGAAAGAATAGCAGCATTCAATAATTCCATCACTCCAGACAGGCCGTTGGGCTATTCTCAATCAAAATACTACGAATCAAGTATATTCTGTATCAGTTTCTTGTGACAGTCACAGAAACATTGCTGCTTTTACAGTATAAAAATCCCATCTACATTAGGCCACTTTGCTTTCTTTGCATCCCTTTGCTTCCAAATGACTGAGTAGTTGAGAAAAATACAAGGAAATGGAAGACACGGAAACTTAATATTCTTTAAGTATAAATACATAGCAACTCCAAATCATCCATTTTGTTCAAGTCAACTTACTGTTTTAAAAGCTTAAAATCAGTTTCAAAACAAAATGTCTACAATCTCTTCTCTAATAATGGCATGAACTAAATATTTTCAAAGAAACCTAATCTATTATTAATGGTCTCAAATAAGTCTTTTAAGTTATCTCTCCGATAATGATATTTAAGTAGAATATTTTGATTGATAGAAGCTTATTTTAAACTTTTGCTTCCTTCACACATAGATTAATGGTAGCATAAAAATATGTTTGAGATGTAAAAGCAGGTGGAAAAACTCACACTTCTGATCAAAGAGAGAACTGCTTCTAATCCTGTGTTTTCCACTCTGCCTGGGTATCTTCTATATTTAGGAGGAAAAACACACCCTGTCACTTTTAAAGTATTTAGAAACACACACGCACACACACACACATGTTGTGACTTACCATTAAAATTTACAGCCCGAATATAACCAAGTAGCTCTTTCCCATCAATGGTACTCATTCGTGGACAAAGGCCAATGTATCCAGGGCAGAGATCTTTGTGCATATTGTGCAGGGCATAAGCCATGGAATATACTGCATCAATTACAAATTGGACCTTTCCTTCCTGTTCATAAGATGAATCCCGAGCAATTCGCTCCAGCCCTGCAAAAAAAAAAAAATTTTAAAGAAACCATCAGTTGACATTAGATTCCAATAAAAGATGGCATTAGAGCTAAGATTTCCATCATTTGAGGAACACTTAATGAGACTCAACTATTTTATTTCACTTCTGATTAATTCTATAGTTACTGAGTCAGGTTTTTAAGCTGGATATTGAGTTTATTTGGAAAGAGTAAAACTATTTCATTAGCAACAAAAAGAAAGAAAGTAAGTAAAAGAAGTATGGTTTCATTATCTTTATTTCCACCTTATTGAATCCTATTATAGTGTACATTCTAGTAATTACATAACATTTTGGTAGTGGCTTGATCTTTTAAGTAAAATGTGTAATATATCATTCTGGCCATCTATCTCAACTCTAGGAGTGTCAATTAATTAGTGGCCCAAAGTAAGAACTTTTGCCACTCCCCAAATCAGCTCTAGTTTTGAATGTACTCTATTTGGGAGTGTTTTTCTAACTATTTTATGACAATACTCCCTTAAGTGACCGTGGTTATCTTTATAATAATCATTCAATTTGTTTTCTTTTTGAACTCAATTTTCTATTTAGAGTTTCTATTAAAAACATGCAGATACCTCAAAATGCATGTCACTCAGAATAAACGTACCTGTGTTTGGGCATTTTTAGGGCTGATAATTGGCAGTGGAGATTACCTTTAGGTTGGTGTTTATAATTTAATATGGAATAGTAATATATTTTAAATGGAATATAAATGAGAGATCAACTATGATACAAGATTCTCATTTTGAAAACGAGGAAACCAAGACTCATGGAGATTATTACCACATGGGGTACACAAGGCAGATTTGGGAAGCATTTGCATGTCTCAGACTTTAAGTCCAATATTCTCTCAATCCCCAGAAAAATGTGGTAGATGGCAAGAATGTTGGGCATGCAAGAAAAAATTATGGAAGGGACATAATGAGTTATTAAGGGAGGAAAAAATGATCTATCACTTCTACATCCCTCACCAACCCTACACAACTGGTAACACTTAGAACAAAAGCAAGCATTTTAAACTTTCCATGAATGTTACTAACCTTGAATAAGCTGTATTTAAATTCAACAAATATTTGTTTTCTTAACACCAATGCATATAACCTATACACTTACAGAGTTGAATTTAAATGGTTTATATTTGGATATTTGCACTCTGAAAAACCAGTGGTTTTTTCCTAAACAAAAATAGTGGTCAGTTTATTTTTATTCATCCAATTATTGTTTTTGTTTTTCATCTGGTCTTAATCACTTGTGACACTGTGTTCTTTTAGATGATCTTGGTTGTTATTCTGGTCTCTCTGGTCTGTCATGAGGCTGAATTCAGTTCCTCCCTGTTTGACATGGCTTTTCTGATTTTCTCATGTCTGAACTGTTTATTCTCCAAGGCTGAGCTTCTTTATCCCCAACCTTAGAATCTGCTTATCATCAATTTTGTCAACTACTAAAATTTTTACAGCTAGAATTATAAACTGGACTACAAAAGGTTGGCTATAGAGTACAAAACATTAGATCAATTTATAGTAATCAGTTTAGTTCATTTTGGAAGTTAGTTTTTTAGAAAATTAGTTTTCTAAACCTTTCTTGCCATCTAACTGCTAGTCCCACATTTCCAAAGACCTGCTATATCTCTACAGAGTCTGCTGCTTCCATGTCAAACAATATGCGGAAAACAAGGCTAACTCTGTAGGGGATTCCCTGAAATATCCTACTGAAAGTTTTGCAGGTTTCCAAGCACAGAGACAGGGAAGACTACTTCTCAAAAGGTATATTGTCTCCTTCAACCTACCTGAGCTGCATGATCTAAGCTAAGATTCGCAAGACATGAGGACAATGTTCTCTTCCTATCTTTAGGTTATACTTTTGTCTCCTGAGTCTTAGGACAACACTGCTCATTCCCAGAATCTCTAATCAAGCTTCCTGTGAAAACAACCCTTTCCACATCTGCCTAAAATTTCTCTCCCATGGTTTTAACCACAAAGTAGAGCATTCATAAATAAATATTGAAGGGTGGCTACAGCAACCAAATAGATGCTGTTATTTCCTTGTAGATTCCTTTCTGGTGACTATCCACTCTTTTTAGTCCAGGACTGAGGAGTTTCTTAGGACCTAGGACCAAAACCTGAAGAGCCCTGGGGAAACCAGGATGGTTGCTTATGAAGAAAAAGGCAAGTGATGAGGAAATTTCAGATAGAAGTGAATAATGACTTTTAGGATCAGTCCCTAGTTCTGGATAGATATCCCTGTGTTTTGCATCACTGAACTTGGTAACACAAAATGAAGACAAGAGGTTCAGAGCGGTTGTTTCCATGCTTGGTTCTCTCCTTAAGTACAGATCTCTCAGCACCATCCCAGACTTGCTGGGTCAGAATCTCCCTACCTGGGACATAAAGGATCTGTCATTTCCACAACTCCCACAGAAATTCTGGTGCAACCAGCCAAGTCTGGTTTCCAAAAGAGCCAGCTTTTGGAAAATCCTGCTCTTGCATAGATCAATCCTCAAAAATACCACTATAGCTATATATGCCATTGAAGTATGAAAATAAAAATAATTCTTTCATGATATGCACAACCAGAAGAAAATCTAATCAAATTCTTTCCCTTTTCTCACTAGATGAAGAGTCAAAGAACACAATTTCCAATATTTATGTATTTCAAAGCTTCCATCACATCCTTAGACACACAGGAAGGCCTGGAGCTGATGACAAGAGTAGAAGCCAGAAAGACACAAAAGTTCTGTAAATAAGAAAGTGTAAGGAACTGAATGTCTTCCTCCTGAGAGGGTGGAAACAGAAAACAGAAAATGGTAGGAAGAAAAAGATACAGAGAGGAGAGAAAGGAAGATGTAGCAACAGAGAGAAAGGCTTGAGCCCAAGGTAAAATAATGGCAGAGGGAAATCTAACATTCCAGGTTGTTTGCATTGCTGCTCTATAAATCCCTGTGCTGCAGACATACACACACACACACACACACCCCTCACACACTTCTTCTGTAAATATTATTGGTTTTTAATCTAATTTTGTTGGCTTTAAAGAAAAGGGAGGATTTCCATGTTTCTATTGCTGCAGGGTGAAGGGTGCACAGTGGGCACAGAACCAGCAGAAAATGCCTAAGCCAAATGGCTTCAAATGAAGCAATGAACACAAGAGCATTAAGGAATTTGGAAAGTTTTTACAACCCATGGAATTCATGTAACAGCTACACATGTATGTATGTTTTATTGTTTTAAACTTACTCTATTCTAAAATAATCTTGATTTAATATAATGTCATTTTATTTTAATGCCAGTGCAACTTCAATTTACATTATCATTTTATTTTATTTTTTACATAATTTTATTTGAATGCCAATGCAACCTCTCTGTCGATCTATAAACATACTCCTCAGCGTTCAATAATTGGATTCATTTATATACAACATTTCCTGATAAAGTATAATTGACATGTTCCAATTTAATAGATATATTCTTTCTCAGCATTTCTTAAAGAATCAACAGCCTGATGTGGTGACTCCTCGCTGTAATCCCAACATTTTGAAATGCTGGGGTAGAAGGATCGCTTGATGCCAGGAGTTCAAGACCAGCCTGGGAAGCATAGTGAGACCCTGTCCCTACCAAAAAATAAAAAAATTCAACTTTATATGTAATAGGTTTAAATACACAAACAAATACACATCATCTTATTAAAGAAAAATATTTAAATTTTCATTATTCAAACTATTCATTTTCTTTTCTAGTTATAAACTCCAATTATTTTGACTGTTGATTAAATATATTCAACTTTGTACATGTTTATTTTCTTTTAAAGTGAAAGTTCAGAAGTCTGTCTAGTAACTGGTGCCACATGTGAATCAATGAACACTGTAAGACTCTTCCTGTAAATCAATGTAAGCACATGGTGACAAACTGAAAGACTGAACACTATTACCATTTCTGAAAAAGTTAATCATTTGATTTCTTTTCAGGCTGTTTAGACAACATATTTTTCAGTTCTTTAACACTTCAACCTCATGATGACACTTAAGATTTCACAGCAGCTACGACTTGCTCCTCACTTCCTATAACTTATTCTCTCATTCATCTAAAAGGGGAGTTTAGGAAGCTGACAGTGACTCATCAACCTAATTGGCTATAAAATCTTATTATGCTATAGTTTCTAAAGTTAGTGTCAATGCATTGCTATAAAGTGCTAAATATTGTCAAAGCCTGTATGTCAGCTAACCATTTTAAATATCACCACCAACTGTAAAGTTGTGATGTGTTTTAGTGTATAGCTTAAAATTAACAACATATAGCAAAGTGTTTGCATGGCGAGAGAGGAAGTCAGCCTCCTAAATTTTATAGCAAGATTGTTTTACATCTTCATTAATGAAATCTAAAACTTATGATTGGATCTCAGTTTCCTGGAAAATAATAAATTCTTATTGGTCTAAGAAATATCACATGTACTTTAGTTAAGGTATTTCACACTTTGTGGTGTATATTCTTAGTTTTTGTTCCTTTTCAGTAAAAAAGGCAAATTGGGTTAAGTTGGCAAAACATTATATACATTACAATGTAAGTTCCTAAGACAAGCCTAACAGAAATTTCAGATTCTTTGACTGATGCATTGTGGTTGCAATGCATTGTTCTCTAAGAATTCCCCATTTCTCAGGATAGAGTTCAGTTTTCTAAGTTAAAATGTCAGAGGGCTAATTTAACTGTCCTGAAATTAGGCATATAAAACTTCTAATATGAATGCAATGATGGTCTAATAAGCAGTTGGTCAATTCAAGTAAAAAACAAGTAAAAGTCATACCAGTTACTTAATTCCTGGGAAATCAAATATCCAGTTGGTTGCTTTAAAAAAAAAAAAAAAAAAATTTAAAAAAAAAAAAAAAAAAAAAAAAAACCATCTCAGCTTTGAGTATAAATAATCCCAAAATCTAAATTTGTAGATTAAGAAGTTTTTTTTAGTTTCTCCCTGAATTTTTCTGAAGTATGAA